GCCAATGACTGAATGATGAATTCTTAAAAATCGATATTTTTCGATCGGAAAACTCTGTTTCGCTTTAGGAGGATTCTAGTAACAATACCCAACTATTTATGTAAGCATTTTTTATTTTAAATCTTTTTATAGGTCCCCAAAAAATACAATGGTGGATCCATATAAAAACCGTTAAAAACGGTAAATTAAAAAAGTGGGTATTACAAAAAAAAAATACGGGCGTTATTTTTGTCCATTTTAACATTTTATCCTTTTTTTTTGGTCCACTTCACTACCTGCACCTGCTACAGCGTAATCAGCCTTCTTAGCACCGGTCATAAGGTCTTATCGTGCCTGTTTGTGCGAATGGCTGAAGCCCACCGTCAACGAACTACTTCGAGCTTATCAGTTTCAACAAAATCCTCAAAAAAGTCCGGGTAGTGGAGGCTCGACGACACAAGCTACATATTTTTTGTTTATTTTAAAGTCACTTTATAATTAGGAAGCACTCATGCGAGTCGTTCGATACTATACGAGGTTTGGACAGGGCGACGCTCTATCTTTTAACTTCTTTTATATGATGCTGGAGATTAGAGTAAAACCTGCAGAGCTACATAGATCAGGAACATTATTTTATAAAAGCTTTTGGAGTAGATGGAGATTCTCTACAAAAGAAATAAATAAAGCAGCATATCAAAATACAGCGGCTTCACTGGCTTGGTATGAGTGTACACGAACGCGGCACAACGCAGTTAGCAGGGGAAAAGGAAGACCCATTCTGTGATGGAAAGACCACTAGGAGAAGGAATTGGCTTCCGTTGGCATCGTGAATTACCGTCGGTAGACGCAAAATAGAAACGACTGGCGTGCTTTATTAAACTCGGACAAAATCGCTAAGGCAGTTATAGCGCCGAAAAGAAAAAACTAAAATTCTCACAGCAGATCAGGGCCCTATCGTCTTGCTGCACTAAGAATAGAGTTAAGCTACGTTAACAAAATTTATTAAGTTCTCTGAACACATGGTTTGATTGTTGTTGCCAAATCTATTATTGAGGGATATATTTTTAGTTTACGTAACTAAAATCTTTTGTCAGTGTAACTGGTGCCAATTAGATACCCAAGGTGAAGCCAAGTCAAGACGATGCGTTATTCACGTTGGGGCTGGAGCTCTTTCATCTTTTCGAATGGCAGATTCTGCGCAGAGTATTTGAATGTAGCTCCGCCGCGGCGGAGAGTATCTCTACCATGAGCGGGTTTTTTTCATTAACACTATCCGAAGTTTGACGGATCGCGTTTAAATGTAGGTTTCTTCAAATGTGTGAGAACTTTTAGATGCATACAACAAATTCGGGAAGCAACTTAGGTTTGAAACATGTTGAAAATTTTGTGGTAGGAAAAAGGTAAATACTCGTATACATATCGATGGCTGAGTGGAAGATCGACCTATCTCGGCAGCCAGTTCGAAAACGCTCTATCTCAAAAAACTTTTCAAGAACGCCCTATTTCAGAATTCGTTTCAAAAACGCCCTATATCAGCATACTTGCAATACATTTTGAAGTGAGATAGGGCGTTTTTGAACCGAATTTTGAGATAGGGTGTTTTTCAATTAAATTCTGAAATAGGGCGTTCTTGAAAAGTTTTTTGAGATAGAGCGCTTTCGAACTGGCTGCCGAGATAGGTCGATCTTCCACTCAGCCATCGATATGTATGTATGTTTTTTTTTCTATGAACTCCAATATTTTTTACATGAAATTACTCTAAACAAAACACCCGCTCCTCAAGTAATTTTTAGGTCTGCTAAAATGAAAATAATGTATGCACCACTCTCCTCACTTGAAATTAAACCAACCCACTTTCTCAAGACTCCTTGGCGACGTCCTTTTTCAAATTATCAAAAACATTTTTTATGAATTCACAAAGCTGTAAATGTAGAAAATTATCGGCACAGGTGCAGGAATTCCATTTGCAAATTTTCCATTCGATTTGAGTTCTTACTGTTAAATACTCCTTTTTCTTTTAGCTAACTTAATCTTACCCACTCATTTGTATCTCAGAAA